TTTTAGGTAGGAGTGGTTGACTTAACTTTTATAAAGAATATCTCTTTGGATTTGAGACTTTAGTCTTTGCAACTTTACAGATCTTCTTTATGCACCAAGAGCTTGTAACACTCCAAAGAGAAAGGAAAAATTTAAATAGCATCATATGACCCCTTTAAATCAGAGCAGAAAGTCTTAAAATCAAGAAGTTATGGCATTAAATGTTGCATGCACTGCAAAAAATGGCCATTCTCCTCAGTATTTTGAAATTTTTTACATCAAGATACATTTGCTTGAGATGCAGAATGAAGAAATAAAGTCTTGTTTTCTGAGAAATTGGACAAAATGAAGTGAGTTTATGTTTAAAACAAGAACAAATATCTGTCAATTGGGAATAAAACCTTGTTTCCCTTGGAATTAAGTTGGTTTTTCTGAGCCCATTGGCAGATATTTGTTCTTTTTTAATCAGAAACGCACTTTATTTTGATCAATTTCACTGAAAACTTAAGTTAATGTTTTTCGATTTAAGAATTTTTAGACATTTGCTCTGGAAAACAAGACAAAAATACAGATTAAGAGCGTCAGTTGTTTGCAGTGTGATCAGAAGGTACATTAAAAGCTACTTCTATATTCTAATGACACCTATTCAAACCATAAGCTTTTTTTTTTTGTAAAATTAACTAAAAAGTGATGGAGATTGGTTGGAAGTTGTATTTTAATCTTTGAAGTGTTGCTAATACAATTGTGTTGCCTAAAGTTTCTTTACTTGGTGTTAAAAAGGTGTACATTTATCTTCATAAAACCTGCAGAAACCCTATGTACTTCCATAAGATAATAATACCAAAATGGTAAATATTTTGAAAAATAACAGAGTAGTTCTTTGTCAAACAGACATGATAAATGACTTTGTGTGTAATGTGTGGTTACGTTTCTCAGATAATTGAGAAGAACGCTGGTCACAGTCGCAGTAGAGTTTTCAGAGAGGTGGAGACGCTTTACCAGTGTCAAGGAAATAAGTATGATCCTATTCCACAGTACTCATTATACTTAACTTAATTTCAGAATTTACTGTAATTGATTGTAGTTCGTACTATACATAACTGCTCAACTGCATACATTGTGTGTTTCTCTATAGGAACATTCTGGAGCTCATTCAGTTTTTTGAAGATGACTGCTGTTTTCATCTGGTGTTTGAGAAGTTGCTTGGAGGTACTGTACAGTTGTATAATAAATTATATCTACTGTATTATGGTAAAATACAGATGCATTCTCATTCTCAGTTATTTGTTTCTGAATAGTTTTCTCTTTCCCTCTAAGGTTCCATTTTAACACACATCCAGAGTCGAAAGTACTTTGATGAGAGAGAGGCAAGTCATGTAGTCAGGGATATAGCACATGCAC